TTGTCCAGTTTAATTTCACAATTTGCATATGTGTGTCTATATACAGGGGAAGCAGATGGGCGGCCGTGGGCCACCCCGGGAAGCTGCGCTGCGGGGCCGAGGCATCCCCACACCTTAAATTGGCGCTCCTTTCACAAGTTGCCTAAGGTGCGCTGCAAAAGCTTGTGGTGCACCTTTGGCTACTCTTCCACTACAGCGTGTGTGGACGCTGCAGCGTGAGGTCCTCCTCAGAGTTCCAGCGGTGCGGAGGGCCCCTCCCCTTCCCTGCCCCCAACATGGCTCAATTGGCCGTCTGCTTAGCCTCATATATAGCAAAAGAGAGAGAGAAAAAACCAAATATATAATATAATTGAGATATATACAAAAACTTTCACAATCTTTTCCATCAGTAAAGAACATTCATTCAAGAATTAAATAAGCAAAACATTACAGTTCTTCTCCCAATTATACAGAGTTGGCCTTTAGCATTTTTTTCCAGGACAATCCCCTCAAATGGATACCAATATCCATGGATGCTCAAGTGCCATTATATATAATGGTATAGTAAAATTGTATATCTTATATCAATTGGCAAAATCAAGGTTTGCCTTTGGGTCTTTTGAAAAAAAAATCAAGCCATGGTGAGGTGTTTTCATAGATACAGAATCTGTAGATGGAGAGGGCCAACTGTATAAACCCAGTCTTTAAGGTGGGTTTTAATTGGCTCCAGATCAGTTTGAATTCTAATCTCTGAACTAGGCTTTCTGAGGATAAATATTATCTCCATCTTGTCTGGATTTAATTTCATTTTATTCACCCTCTTTGAACTCTCATTCAGCACCAAAAGCACTGCAATAATTAATTATTATCCCACTGATATATATGCAGTTCACAAAGAAAGAAGGACCATTGCTAAAATTCCTTACAGTGCAAAACTATACATGACTGTTGAAAATTATGTCCCACTGTATTCAGTGAGACTTAGGACTTTATTATTGAATGGCTAATAAAGTGTTTTACCTGAATTGAATTGAATTTTAAATTGGGCTGCATCTGGACCCTATCACAAAGATTTTGCTGCTGAAATCACTGCCTGAATGTAGTCTGAGTCCATCCCCACTTCCAGGAGCACTTCAGCTGCCATTTTTTAAGCCAGAAAACTCATGGTTTTGAAAAGAGGCGCCTGGAAGTGGGGTTGCACATGGGCTGCATTTGGGTGGTAATTTCAATGGCAGAATCTTTGTGATAGGGTCCAGATGCAGCCCAATTTAAAATTAAATTTGATTCAGGTAAAATGTTTTATTTTTAGTCCTAGAAAAATTGGTATTGGATTAAAGCCCTAGTAGACAATAGCTGCATTGAAACCTGCTCTTGTTCATGGAAATCAGCTTGGACATTCTAGCTGAAGAGAAAGACAAATGTACAATAAAGAAACAACACTGAAACATCCAAAGAGCCTAAAGACACCAGGGTCTGTCTGATTTTCAAAGCTAAGCAGAGTCAGCTCTGGTTAGTACTTGGATGGGAGACTGCCAACAAATATCAGGTGCTGTCAGCTATATTTCAGTGGAAGATACTGGCAAAACCAACTCTGAGTATTCCTTCCCTAAGGAAACCCTATGACATTTATGGTATAGCCATACATCAACAGGCAATGTGAGGGCCCATATGCACACAAAGAAACAATACTTTCTTATTGAATTAATATATTTCAGGGTGGAATATTTCTCAAATGCTTTACAAGATAATTGCTCCCTATTTATTTCAGCAATGGGTTTATATAATGGATGTATTTAGTATGGTGTAATGGATGGTGTTGGGAATTACTCTTTGGTAATTTGGTAGGACAGTGATTTTACCCCTCATTCCACCCTAAAGCACATGCTAGATTGTTGTGAGGATAAAAAAAAGCCCAACAACTTCTTAGACCATGTACATCTGGAATAGATAAACTAGAACCTTCTAGATGTTTTGGACTACACTTCCATCAACCTCAGCTAGCATGGTCAATAGGAAGGGATAGTGCAAATAACACTAAATTCAGAACAATAACCAATACACCAGAGGACAGAATAAGAATTCAAAATGACCTTAACAGATTGGAAAGCTGGGCCAAAACTAAAAAAAAAAAATTAATTGCAACAAGAGAAACATAAAGTTTTACACTTAAATAAATAAATAAATGTACAAATATAGGATGGTTAACACCTGGCTTGATGACAGTACACAGGAGTCTTTTAGTAGACCACAAGCTGAACATGAGTCAAAAATGTGATGAAGCACCTGAATAAAGCTAATATGATCCTAGGCTGCATCAATAGGAGTTTAGTGTCAGGACTGAGGCAAGTAATAGTACTACTCTCTTCTGCTTTGATCAGACCTCACCCAGAATACTGTGTCTAGTTCTGGGCACCACAGTTCAAAAAGGATACTGACAAGCAGGAAAGTGTTCAAAGGAGGGTGACCAAAATTGTAAAAATTCTGGAAATCATGCCTTATGAGGAACAGTTTAGGGAGGAGGAGGAGGAGGTTAAGAAATGACATGATAACCATGTTTAAATATTCAAAAGAATGTCGTATTGAGGGTTGGAGCAAGCTTGCAGGACATAGAGCAATTCAAATTACAGGAAAAGCGATTCCACCTAAACCTAAGAACTTTTCCACAGTAAAAGGTAAGAGCTATTACATAGTAGAATATGCTGCTTCAAAGTGTGGTGGAGTCCCCTTCTTCAGAGGTTTTTAAATGGAGGCTGGATCTATAGAAGTGCTTTGATTGTGTATTCCTGCATGGCAGGACTGGATGGCTCTTGTGGTCTCTTCCAACGTTATGATTCTGTGATACTATTGAAGTAGAGATGGAACCAAATGAAGTAGAGATGGCCTTTGCCCCAGATTCTTTCTGAAGGGTCAGC